CTGGACTTCACCTTCCCCCTGAGGGGCTGCAGATCCATCAAGGAGTCCAATAGGTCTTCTACAAAGCTGTTTGCTCTGTGTGGGGTTTTGGGATTCCCTGACCTTTTTCAGCTACTCTGGAAAGCCTGGCTGCATGCCTTCCCACCAGGTGCAAATTAGATGCAATGACCTCAGCACATGCCTGGAGTGCTTTACTAAAGATGGAGCGGGTCAAGGTCACTCAAAGTTTCCCAGGGTTGCCCTCTGTAGTGGAGTCTGCCTCCATTTTTTTTTAGTAAATTTATTTATTTATTTATTTTTTGCCTGCATTGGGTCTTCGTTGCTGCTCGTGGGCTTTCTTTAGTTGCAGCGAGCGGGGGCCTACTCTTTGTTGAGGTGTGCTGGCTTCTCATTGTGGTGGCTTCTCTTGTTGCGGAGCACAGGCTCTAGGCTCGCGGGCTTCAGTAGTTGTGGTTCGCGGGCTCTAGAGCGCAGGCTCAGTAGTTGTGGTGCGTGGGTTTAGTTGCTCCGCGGCCTGTGGGATCTTCCCGGACCAGGGCTCGAACCCGTGTTCCCTGCATTGGCAGGCGGATTCTTGACCACTGTTTTACCAGGGAAATCCCTGGCTCCATTTTCTGATGTTCGACTTCTGACAGCTTTTGGCTTCAACTCTTTCTCTTCTCCTTGTGACTGGCATCACCGGGCCAGCTGATAAGCTCAGGTGCTCCCAACTTTGGCACAGCAGGAGTTTCAAACCACACAAGCCCCTCCCCATGTATGGTAGCTCCTACCTGGGCCCCTCCCCTAAACACAATACAAACCCCAAGCCCATCTCCTTTCCTAGCTGTCTTAAGCCATTTTCAAACCTGTTTTGGGAAGCCCAGAAGCCTCATTATGTGAGTAATAAACCTCTTCATACCTTCTTGCTGTGTGGTCACAACATCCTGAAGGTGTTAAGTCCATGCCTGAGGCCCTTTTCCTATAACCCATAACTGAGATCTAGTCCTATAACCCATCCCGGACCTAGGATTTAATACTTTTTCACTAGGAACCAGTAGGTCTAATCATTTTTACATTTATTTATTTACTTTTATTTTTTTTACGAAGGAGGCAATTCTTTTTTTTTTTAAATAAATTTATTTATTTATTTTTGGCTGCCTTGTGTCTTAGCTGCTGCATGCGGGCTTTCTCTAGTTGCGGTAAGCGGGGGCTACTCTTCATTGTGGTGCATGGGCTTCTCATTGCGGTGGCTTCTCTTGTTGCAGAACACGGCTCTAGGCGCATGGGCTTCAGTAGTTGTAGCACGTGGGCTCAGTAGTTGTGGTGCACAGGCTTAGTTGCTCTGTGGCATGTGGGATCTTCCCAGACCAGGGCTCGAACCCATGTCCCCTGCGTTGGCAGGTGGATTCTTAACCACTGTGTCACCAGGGAAGCTCCTGGGTCATATTTTAGATTCCACATATAAGTGATATCATCCGATGTTTGTCTTTCTCTATCTGACTTAACTTCACTTAATCTCTAGGTCCATCCATGTTGCTGCAAATGGCATTATTTCATTCTATTTTATGGCTGAGTAATATTCCATTGTGTGTGTGTGTGTATATATATATGTATATATATATATATATATATATATATATATATACCGCATCTTCTTTATCCATTCATCTGTCATTGGACATTTAGGTTGCTTCCATGTCTTGGCTATTATAAATAGTGCTGCTATGAACATTGGGGTGCATGTATCTTTTCAAATTAGAGTTTTCATCTTTTCTGGATGTATGCCCAGGAATGGAACTGCTCGATCATATGGTAACTCTATTTTTAGTTTTTTAAGGAACCTTCGTACTGTTCTCCATAGTGGCTGTACCAGTTTACATTCCCACCAACAGTGTAGGAGGGTTCCTTTTTCTCCATACCCTCTCCAGCATTTATTATTTGTAGACTTTTTGATAATGGCCATTCTAACCAGTGTGAAGTAATACCTCATTGTAGTTTTGATTTGCATTTCTCTAGTAGCATCCTGAAAGCTGCTAACATCTTACAACATACAAAACAGCTCATTACAACAAAGAATGTCCAAAATGTCAGTAGTGCTAAGGTTGTGAGAGTCTGCTCTAGCATTTGACTACTCTAAGTGTGGTCTTTGGACAGACAGCTTGGGCATGGTGGAGAAAACTGTTGGAAATGCAGTCTCAGATCCCCCCTGAATCTAGTAAATCAGAATCAGCGACATTGAACAAGCTCCCCAGGTGATTTGTATGAACATTAAGGCTTGAGAAGTGCTGTTTTTACGCTGATGGTTTATTCTTTCTGATCGTCAGCATGACTGTATGGTTTTCCACAGGATCCAAGAGTTCTCATTAATTATAAGCCCCAGTTTCTGAGGAGAGTGCACTTTCATCTCAGGAGAGACCTGGGCTAGCCATCCACATCCAGGAGACAGAGGGGATACCACAGTAGCTGTGCTTTCCAAAGTTCTGAGCCTTTCCCTTAAGCTTGGCACGTGTGGGGTACTGCATGTGGCAGCCTTGGATTGATTTATGTGTGTGAGTGTGGGGGAAGGCTGGGGGGAGATTTCACCCTGAAGAGGGTAGTAGTGTGATCTTTGATATACTTGATCTGCCCATCCTAAGGCCTAAACATATGGTTGGGGAAGACGGGCCCTTGTCATAGATATTCCATGCCAGCGGCAGTGCTTGCTGCAGCAGGGCCAACTTCATGAGTCACTCAGGACCTGAATTTGGAAAGGCTGCACACTTGGTTTAATGCTCCGCTGTCATCATCGTGAAGCACATAATTTGGATCGAGGCAGCCCACATTTTCATTTCGCATTGGGCCCTGCATATTACGTAGCCAATCCTGAGCTAGAGGAAGGGGTCAGGGGTCTGGAATTGCAACCTAACCCTTGTGCCAATCAAAACTGGCTAGCTTGTCATTTTCACATGTCTGCTATGAGTTGCCAGCCCTTCATTCATTTACTTATTCAGCAAATATTTACTGGCCACTTCTTGTGCACTGGGCACTCTTTTAGGTGCTGGAGATACCAAAGTAAACAGACAAAATCCCTGCCCTCATGGAGCTCACATTCTCCTGAGGGGGACTGACAGGGAAGAGGGCGTGAAACGTTGTGGGTTGCAGTACAAATAGGATGTATATATAGGAAATGTAGATAGGATGGCTGAAAAGCCCTCATTGAAAAGGCAACTTTTGAGTGAAGATCTAAATGAAGAGAGTGTCAACTTTAATAACAGAAAAGACAGTTATTTTACCAGAAACAGTATTTATTAGGGAATAGCAGAGGAATTGCAATTCAGATCATAAGCAAATCCAGAGAAGAAGGGAACTTGCTTTTATAGAGAAAAGGGGGGAATTGGGAGGGGCTGTGATAATCAAAGAGCCCATTGGAGGAAGCTGGGAGTCCAAAGTATGGAGGCTTCTCATTGGTTGTGCTACTACAATCTCTTACTGGCTGGGCTGTCACTGGGTGGAGAAAAGTTTTATTCCCCCTGCTGGATAGTAAAGTAGAGGCACTTCAGTTGGAGATGTAGGCAAATTTTGTCTCTTCCTATTTGGGGCAATTGGTGATGCATGGAGGGGCATGAGAGCTCCCCCTACAGTCCTGTCCCAACTCCAACTTTGGCTGAGGTTTCTTTAATTCCACAAGAGAATCTGCAGTAATCCAGGGGTATGGGGAGATGGGAGCTTTCCAAGTGGAGAGAAGAGAAAGTAAAAGTTCTGAGATTGAACCGTGCTTGGCATGTTTGAAGAACAGGAGGTTGGCATAGCTGGCATGGAGAGAACGATACGGAGAGTAAAAAAGTGATGGGGAATCACTCTTATAGTCTGGTAGGTCATGGTAGGGGCCTTAAATGTTTCTGTGACTGAGATGGGAAGCTGCTCATTAGACATGACTTAATGTTTCACCAAGATCATACTGACTTTAATGTTGAGGACAGACTAGAAAGGTCAAGGGCAGAAGAAGGGTGTTCAGTTAACAGGCTATTGTAATAATTTAGGCAAAAGATGATTGTGGCTTATGCATTCAAGTGGTTGAATTCTGTCTTTATTTTAAATGGAAAGCCAACAGACCAGATTTAGGGCTAACAAAAAAGAGTAGAGCCAAGGATGGCACCAGAAGTTTTGACTGAGCAGATTAAAAAAAATGGTAGAAACCAATTCAGGGAGGATATAAAGGATTCCATTTGGATCGCAGTTGATCCTTGAACAACATGGGTTCAAACAGCACAGGTCCACTCACATGAGGATACTTTTCAATAGTAAATACTACAGTACTATACAGTCAGTGGTTGGTTGAATCCCAGGGTATGAAGGAACCTCAGGTATGGATGGCCAACTATAAGTTATATGTGGATTGAGCTCTGTGTTGTTCAAGCATCAACTGTAGTTAGGTTTGAGATGTCCATTGGTTATCCAAGGAGAAATGTCAAACAGGGAGTCAAGTTCAAGGAAATTCTGATTAAAGATATAAATCTCAAGTCATCAGCATATAGATGATATTTGCATGAATACAGATAGAAAATAATTGAAAAAAAAGTCAAACTCCTAACTTTTACTGTCACTGGAGCTGTTTCAAAAATAAGGACATGTACAAACACTCCAAGAGGCCTGATTGCAAAATTCAGCTAGAGTTAAGATATGAACACATGAGATGGATGTGTTTTCACTGTCTAGTCTCCAAAAAAAAAAAATGATAAAGCAAAAGGAAAAAGTCTCATCAGTTTGGTTCCTTATTATTATTTTTTTAATAAATGTATTTTATTTATTTAGTTAGGCTGTGTTGGGTCTTCATTGCTGCGCGTGGGCTTTCTCTAGTTGTGGCGAATGGGAGCTACTCTTCGTTGCGGTGCACGGGCTTCTCATTGTCGTGGCTTCTCTTGTTGCAGAGGATGGGCTCTTGGCACACGGGCTTCAGTAGCTGTGGCATGTGAGCTCAGCAGTTGTGACACACGGGCTCTAGAGCGCAGGCTCAGTAGTTGTGGCGCACAGGCTTAGTTGCTCCACGGCATGTGGGATCTTCCTGGACCAGGGCTCGAACCCATGTCCCCCGCATTGGCAGGAGGATTCTTAACCACTGCGCCACCAGGGAGGCCCTGGTTACTTATTTTAAATCCTTATTATGAGTTATTTTATCCTATAAGTAGTTCAAATCTTCACATGATTAAGGGGTTTTCATGGCTGTCAGGACAGGGCTTGGGCTGGAGAGTCCCTGCAGACATCTCCTTCCACAGCCTCTCATATCTTGGTTTAATCCACATAGTTAATCATCTTCAAGTAAGAGCTCTTCTAGCTGGCCGTTTTCTCAGCTTGCAGCTTTGAGAGAAGCATCACTAGAATCATCCACCTTCTATAACCTAGGGAGGAGATGTGGAGCTAGGATGCATTTCAGGAGCAATTTCATGCTAAAAAGCCTGGTAATTTATGTCTTGTGGAGTTTCAATGTTCCAGTCAACCTGGACAGATGGCTCTGAAGAAGGAATCTGTTGAGGCATTCCTGGAATCATACTGGAAGTTCCTGGCAGGGATTCCTGCTTCAAGGCTTCCTTCTCAAGGGGTTTTGTGTTCTCCTGCATGAACACGGTCTTCTTTGTGGAACTCGCTACAGATATCAGTGGCTAAATAGAAAACAGAAGAGAAAACAGTCATTAGCAGAGACTAAACATACTGGGCATGGCAAGAATACAATATTGCCATTTTCATGCCCAAGACTGAACAAAACTGAAAAAGACCTAATCCAGCAAAGCATGAAACAAATCTAATTGGATCAAGATAACTCACCAATAATTTAACTGCCTGACAGAACAAAATTCAACACCTTTTAAAGGAACACTACACAATCTAGATGCCCCATAAAGTATCATCTACGATGTTTAGCATACAAGTAATAATTACTAGACATGTGAAGAAGTAGGAAAATGTGAACCATAATCCAGAGAAAAAGTATTTAATAGAAAGAGACCTCAAAATGACAAAGGCGATGAGACTGGCAGACAAGAACTTAAAACAGTGATTATAAATATTTTTTAAAATTGAAAGGAGAAAAATGGCCATAATGAGTGAAAAGATAGGGTATATCAGCAGAGAAAATGGAAATCATAGAAAGGAACCAGACAAATTCTAGAATTGAGAAAATATCTGAAATGAAAAAAATTCATTGAATTCCTAAATAGCATTGGACATTGCAGGAGAACGGATCAGTTAACTTGAAGACAGATCAATGGAAATTATCCAAACTGGAGCACAGAGGGAAAAAGATGGAAAAAATGAATGCAGTCTCAGTGACCTATGAGATGATATCAAGCATCCATGTAACTGCAGTCCCTGGTGAGGCAGGAAGATTGGAGCTTGAGCTCTACTGGCCATCTCTACCCCATCTTTGTCCATTTTCCACTCAACAGTGGACCCTGTGGGGCACTGCAGCGAGGTCTGTGGAGTACTTGCCCACATGATCTCTAAGACCTTCTAACTCCAAAGTGCTATGAATCTATGCAGCAAATCTATGTATTGTTTCCATAAAAACTTATTTCTAAAACACCTGTATGGCCCAGATCTTTATATCAAAGGGATTGCTTTCAGACTTAGAAACAGAATAATGGTTTACTTACTCAAAGCTGCCTCTGCTTAATGAAGAGAAATCACTACAAGGGCAACTTCTGCCAGCTTTCTTCTAGGTCTGACTCAAATGTTATCTCCTTTGTGAGTCCCTTCTTGATTCCCATAATTAGGTATGATCTCTACCACACATAGTGCTGTTTCTACTCCCCTTTGGACACATCCACCGGACCAGCAGTATTCAATCTGGGGTACTAAAAGCAATGATGGTTTTAAGATATTAAGGAAAATCTTGCAAAGCTTTTAGTATAGGCGTAAAAGCCCATCAGCTAAATCAGCAGGCCTGCTGAAATCCTATGCAACCTATCCTGGGGCTATTTCAGATAAGTTTTAAAGCTCTGGTGAGAAATCTAAAGATGAAATCTAAAGATGACAGTAGCAAGGAATAATTTGCTATTCACCTTGAGCCAACAAGAAACCAGAAGTTAGAATCTCATCTTATTTGATGTACCTCCACCTCTTTGCCCTTTATCTAGCTCTTTCAGTTTATACTAGGAGAGCAACTTGCTCTTGGAAGATATGGCTTTCCCTTGCCAGTAAGCAATAAGCTTTGTTTTACATCACTGTCGGGTTCCCTTTATTTCCTTCTAACAAAGGGAATCGATTTCCATAACCACAATTTGCCCATGAACTCTCTCCTAAAGCTGAGAACTTGCACATAGTGGGCATCAGGCCGGCTCTCATTTCTCAAGTTCCCTTACAATCGCTGATTGTCTCACACTTGGCAAAAGAAGAGCAAACCTTTTACTCATCCGAATCTTGCTAAGAAATACTGCTTCAGGGTATAAAATCCCTGAGTGTAACACAAAGGGACAATTAAAAAGGTTGATGTGAACAAAGTGTTCTTTAATAAAGGCATCATAAAACCAGGGTAGAGTTTTGGGCGTCTTTCCCTGCCTTATATATTTATATTTCTATTAACAGTGAAGCATGGTGTTAGAAAAGGATTAGAGTGGGCAGCAAGGTGACGATGACAACTTTTGCTTAATGATCTCAATTCTATCATCTCCCAACAACTGTTCCAAGAATGAACTGTTCCTGAGGGAGAGTTCGTTCAACTACTATTTTCAGATTGTAGTAGGAAACTATCTTTCTTTTGATTTATTTATAAAACATCCAGACTTAAAAATACAAATCTATTAATTATGAGGAAATCTGAGAATATTGATATAAATGTACATAAGCTTAATATTTTCATGCCTTCATCAAAGTTGGCTTTGAAACTAGCAAAAGCTAGTAAATTGTATAGGACTACATTAAAGATTTTCATGCACAGGACAGAGTGATAGTTAAAAAGATGCCAGATATCAAGTTCAATAAGTGAATGACCGCTATTAGAGCAACACAGAGGAGACATCTGTGGCTTGATACATAAATAAACAGCATATATTAAATTAAATATTTAAGTAAATAGTATATAATAAATTAAATAATATACCTGAAGTATATACTAGAAACCATATTTGGTTTCTGAAAAATATTGAGTAATTTTTGAAAAGGATTCAAAGGATCTTGTATAGAAATATATGTTCCAAGTGACACATTAGATTTTTCTTAAAATCTGATTTCTTAAACCAGTAACATGTAATTTATTCCCTAACATCGTAAGTGGAATTGCCTTTAAGCATTTTCTTTATTCATTACAAGGATTTTATTGACAAGGATTGTCAATAAGATTGATTTACATACAAACATATGAACATGGAGGAAAAAGTAGGTTTTGGGAGCCTCAGTGCACTGTGCACTAGGGTTGAGCTGTCTTGCAGGTTTCCTGGTACCCACCACGGGATGACACTTTTCACACTTCTGTTGAATCTCACACTCTTCTTGCATCAGCATTTCTGTCACTCTGGTTTCTTTGAGGCTATTTTCATATTCTTCTTGCAGCTGGATCTTCTCTTGCCTATCCTGGGGCGATATGACAGAGTAGAATAAGGTCAGTCCTCGGAAGCAGGGACCCTCCCAGGACAGGCCCCGGGCCCTTGAGCCCTCCTGACTTTGCTCCTGTAACTAACTAGCTTCAACCTGCTAGTATCTCCAAACCCCCAACCCCACAACTCCTCTGAGTTGGATTCTCTCTTCAGCCCCCAGACTCCCTATACTTCAGGGATATCTGGGCCTAAGCCATCCTCAAAAGTGGAATAAACCACGACACTCCCCAGGCCAGCTCCAGCGTGGTGCCTTGGATTTCAAATTCCTCTGGGAAAGCTGAAAGCCCTCCCCAAGTCGACCCTGTGCGCACACACACCTTTTCTTTTGCCATCGCCGTTTTCTTGTAACGATAAAGCCAGTGAGCCAGGTACTCTATGGGGTCACTGGGCTGAACCTTTGCCACTTCTGCCAGCGCCCGAGCCAGGCAATTTCCAAAGCACCACTTCAGGTATTCGGTTTCCATCCTGGTGGGTTTGGAAAACGTCAAGCAGGGTCACACTATTTCACAAATCTAATTGGACATAAAAAATAGACACATTCTAACCAACGCAGGTTCATTTCAGGACAAATATGAGATGTTTCTGGAGCCCATCCTCCCCCAAAGAACCAATAAATACACAAGTACTTGCCAATAGCTCTTACATTCAAATGGACATTTTTCTAAAGCTCTCCAGCTCTCCCAGGTCAGTAAATAGGTCCTGGGGCTCATCAGGCCTGAGAGGAGCTTGGTGGATTGGTGCTTAAAAGAGGCTAAGGCCTCCACTACACGACTCTACCCTTGACTAGGGAGGAAATAACTGAGCAGGCAGGAGGGCCCAGGAGGGGCTCTGAGCACCCAGCAAGCTGCACTATTGTGAGGTTGGGAGCTACAGTCATCTGTGACATAGATAAGACAGGCTTATCTATTTCACAACGGACCATTGAGAAGCCCTGAGGAGGAGAGGGACGGAGAATGCCCAGCACTGTAGCTAGAAAATATTCCATTTTCTATTGCTTAAGCAAGAAACTACTTTAGGTTGAGTTGAGCCCCTGGATTTACTCTTAATCAGATGTCAAGAATTGGAGGGAATGAAGCCTGAGTTAAACCATAAGTTAGGAGTGGAGGTGTAGTGTAGCAGTAGGAATGTAGAATTTGAGATCAGACAGACCAAGTTCCAGTCCTGGCTCCGCTTTTTATTAGCTGTGTGATCTTCAGCAACTTACTAAGTCTCTCTGAGCCTCAGTTTCCTGATCTGTGGAACAGAATAACAAAAATATGTATCTCATAACTGTGAGGATTAAAAGAGATAATAAATCCATGTGAAGCACATAGCCTGGCGTGCAGTACATGTTTAATAAATATTAGCTGTTACAGTGGAAGATTGTGACATGAAATGGCCTAGCACCCAGCCTATGCCTGAACAGCTCTATGTTCCTGAAGCTGACATATTTTAACTCCAAAAGAGCTAATAATAAAGTGAATAATAAAGGCTTAGATCAATTCCTAACATTTTCTGGAGGCATTTTTCAGTTTAAGAAGGGAAAGATAAGTAGATAGATAGATACGAATACAGAAAAAAAAATTCCCAGCTCCTTCCACTGCAAACGCCTAGAAGCAAAAACACCTCAGTAGCAACGAACACACAGAATTTGCTTTTTTAAAAAAATTGAGGCATAGTTGATTTACAATGTTGTGTTAATTTCTGATGTATGGCAAAGTGATTCAGTTATACATATATATGTATTCTTCTTTATGTTCTTTTCCATTATGGTTTATCACAGGATATTGAATATAGTTCCCTGTGCTATACAGTAGGACCTTGTTGTTTATCCATTCTATATATAACAGTTTGCATCTGCTAACCCCAAACTCCCAATCCATCCCTTCCCCACAGAACTTGCTTTTATTTATTTATTTTTAACATCTTTATTGGAGTATAATTGCTTTACAATGGTGTGTTACTTTCTGCTGTATAACAAAGTGAATCAGCTATACATATACATATATCCCCATATCCCCTCCCTCTTGCGTCTCCCTCCCACCCTCCCTATCCCACCCCTCCAGGTGGTCACAAAGCACGAGCTGATCTCCCTGTGCTATGCGGCTGCTTCCCACAAGCTATCTATTTTACGTTTGGTAGTGTATATATGTCCATGCCACTCTCTCACTTCATCCCAGCTTACCCTTCCCCCTCCCCGTGTCCTCAAGTCCATTCTCTACGTCTGCGTCTTTATTCCTGTCCTGCACCTAGGTTCTTCAGAACCTTTTTTTTTTTTAGATTCCATATATGTGTGTTAGCATACGGTATTTGTTTTTCTCTTTCTGACTTACTTCACTCTGTATGACAGTTTCTAGGTCCATCCACCTCACTGCAAATAACTCAATTTCGTTCTTTTATGGCTGAGTAAAATTCCATTAGAATTTGCTTTTAAATAGGCTTCACCACTTAAAAAGAAACAAGGTTCCTTGGAGAAATGACTAATTCCAAGATCAGGGCAGGAAATGTCTAATAACCCTGGAATGTTTTGTTGTCCCAGAAAGGAAATGCTAAAAAATAAAATGGTTGGGGACACAGGAGCCAGCTTGAAGGGGCTGCTACTAGCCAAACCTGGTGCAATTTGGCCACCAAAATTAATAATGACTGTAATGGATTATAACCAATTGAATAAAATAAGAATCCATGAGTCCATGTAGGAATAAACAAGTGAATGGGAGAGCAGGTAGAATGCTACTTAGAGTAGAATGCCAACTAATAAATGTGGAAAGAATAATGCAGTTAAAGAAACATTTTGAAACCATCATAATATAACTGAAGCAGCTATCAATGAGCACTAAAACTTGGTGAATATTTGACAAGGAATAGGATATTTATATATATTCTCAAAGTTTCTCCCCACAAATTATGGATTAATTCCAAAGTAAACATGGAAACTTTACAGTGGTGAAACCTGGCCGACACAACGTTAACCAATTGATCAAAGTAAGCATCACCAGTAAAGGGACAAAATGACATCATGTGTCTCCTGATGCAATGCACTGCTTACAAGGACATAATACATTTCTGTAGATTCCTGCTCCAAATGCAAAACTAGAATCTGATTGAGGAAACATCAAACAAAGCCAAACTGAGAGACAGTCTACAACTGGCCTGTACTCTTAAAAATGTCAAGATCATGAAAGACAAAAAAAGATGAGGCCAGGAGTTCCCTGGTGGCCTAGTGGTTAGTAGTCGGTGCTGTGCTGTCCCTGCTGTGGCCTGGGTTTGATCCCTGGTCGGGGAACTGAGATCTGCAAGCTGTGCGGTGTGGCCAAAATATTAAAAAAATAATAATAAAAATAAAAAAAGATGAGGCCCCAGTCCAGATCAAAGGAGCCTAAACAGCCATCACAACTACATGCAACACATGATCCTGGGTTGGATCTGGACCAGAAAATAGAATTCTGTAAAGGACGTTGTTGGAAATACCGAACGTGAATTGTAGATTACATAATAGAATTGTATCAGGGGTAAAATTCCTGGTTTTGGTAATTGAAGTATGAGTAAGTAAGAAAATGTCCTTGTCCTTAGAAAATACACAGTGTGGTAGGGCTGAATAATGACTTTCCAAAGTGTCCACATCCTAATACCTGGAACCTATGAAATATGTTACCCTTATATGGCAAAGGGGACTTTGCAGATGTGATTAAATTAAGCATTTTGCTTGGGGGAAATTTTACTGGATTATCCGGGTAGGCACAATGTAATCCCAGGGGTCTTTATAAGAGGGACACAGTAAAGTCAGACAGGGTAGAAGGAGATGTGGTGATGGAAGCAGGGGGAGAAAAGGTGATGTGATTCAGGGCCACGAGCCAAGGAGTGTGGGTAGCCTCTAGAAGCTGGAAAAGGTAAGGAAATAGATTCTCTCCTAAAGCCTCCAGAAGGAGCCAGCCCTGCTGATACTTTGGTTTTAGCCCTGTAAGATTCATCTTCGATTTCAAACTTCAAAAACTGTAAGATCATAAATGAGTGTTTAAAGTCACTACGTTTGGGGTAATGGTGGAGGGTGGGGATGGGATGTGTGGTGGCTCCTTCTGCCAATCTGGGGCCCACCTGAACCAATGCACCTGAATAAACTGTCTTCCACACCCCTTCTACTCAAAGTGTGGTCCACTGTCAGCAGCACTGCTTCAACTGGAGGTTGTTGAAATGCAGATTCTCAGGTCCCACCTCAGACTTACAGATTGAGAGTCTGCATTTTAACAAAATCCCCAGGTGACACACAGTTACAGATGTCCTCTGCCTTTATCACAGTAGAACTGCCCTTCCCAGAGGGCGGAATCACCAACTCTGCATTCCCAGGAAGCGTCTTCACTGCCTGGTCCTTGGTGGCTGCCACACTGCAGTAGGTGTGGCAAACCCTTTCTGGAGAGAGCATCTGCACATTTTCAACACTGGTCTCAACAAAATACACTGACCTGACCGTCACTAAGACTTGATGTGAAAACAGCAGAGCCAGAAAAAAACAGCCACCATGTGAAGCCTGGAGAGGGAGGAACCAAAGGGGTGCATTTTATAGCCCACTCCCCACCAAATCAAGCCACACTCACCAGTGAGGAGGGGGCTATTTTTCAGTTTCCCAGGGCTCCTCTGAGGGTCTGCTTATACTGGACCTCCTTGCTCATGGCCATGCATTCAGCAAGCGGGGTGCTAAGTATAGGGATTGTCTTTGTTCACACCACATCCTTAGTGCTGGGCACTCAGTACTTGCTCAGCAAATATTTCTTGACTTAAGCAGTGAGGGCTCTGATGTTTGCGGGCCCAGGCAAGAGCTCATGCTCCCTTCCATTTGTCAGTGCCCACACTGGCACTTACTAAGTACCTCAACTAATGGTTAACGAGGCATCTCCTGCCCAGCACTGCCCCACATAAATTGAAACAGACCATGGGAAATGCTAGTTGAGGACTGTGCACAAACCACTAGCCCAGGGAAGACCGCAAATGGCAAAGGCTAGAAGGCTTCCTGGAGGTGGGGGTACCTGTGCTTGTTCTGAAAGGAATGCCAACTAAAGAATGTCCCCAGCCAGCTGGCTACACCAGGCTCAAGTCATTAGCCACTGCAGTTGTTGAGTCACTAACACACCCTGGAAGGAGTTCAGGGTGGAGATCAGGAATGTGGAACTCTGCTCTCTGGGAAAATTGACAGAACAGACCTTCAAATAGAAATTTCCGGGAGAAAATTTTATAAACCCAATTTCTTCCATCTTCACATACTTAGAAAAGCACTAAAATAATTAAGCTATCTGTGCCTGGTGGCTAGCAGTGACCTTTTACCTAGATATGTTTGATTGCAGGTATTCCTTCTCCAAAAATCACATACATGCTGACCTCCCCCCTTACCTCTTCCAAGCAGAAGCAGTTTCTCAGAGTTGTCAGAGCAGCTGTCTCCAGGGCTAGAGTCCTCAGTTAAGTCCCCAAATAAAACTGAACTCACAGCTCTCAGATGTGCGATTTTTTTCAGTGGACAGGAACCAGGCAGAAGTCACCAGCAAATGCAAAGGTGCTAAGCTGGGAAAATACCAGGCTGCTCAGGTAGCTAGTCTTCTCTGGCGTAAGGCTGTGGGGCTTCACCTATAGGTAGTCTCTGCCCTTTCTCTCTCCCAGTATGCGCCCACCTGCCGGCCCCGCTCGCTCGATTCCCCTTTTCGGCAGCCCGTCCTCACAGCCTCTAGGTTGCACGTCCCTGTTCACCTACCCAGGTGCTCCCTGCTCTCCACCCTGCACCTTGCACACCTCGCGCGCCCCCGCTCTCAACTGCTCGTCCTACCCCGCCCCGCTCCGCCCGCCTCTGCTCTTTGCAGCACATCCTCTTCCGGACCCCGCCTCCGATCAACCCCTGTCCGCGCGCCCCCCGCCCCCGATCCCCGCCGGGCGCAGTCCGCTCAGCTCTCCGCTGGCGCCCCTTCCTCTCTGCCCCCGGCCGTCTCCCGCACCTGGAGCGCGCACGCTCGTTGCCTAGCGACGGGACGCGACTAGCGGGTAGGTAGGCGCATGCGTCAGCCGCCTGCGTTTAGAACGCAGGCGCCGTCTTGGAAGAACGGCTTCCGGTGCTGGGCTGGCTTCCGGCGGACGGAGGCGGTTTTGACCGTTGGACCTTGCGAGTGGTGTAGGGCTCAGGCGACGTCCAGGCTCCAGAGGCGAGAGAGGGTTAGCTCAGCGCCGGACTCCGTGGGCACCTCTGCGGCTGGGTCCTCCTCCTCGGTGGTGAGCGGCGACGCGCCATTTGGGAGGGGCAGGGGAGGCGGGCACCCTTCCGCCGACCCGGGATGGAAAACCAGGCGAAGCGCTCGGAATCCAGGGTTGCCAGATAAAATTAGGCGTACCCAGTTAAATCTGAATTTCACAGATTTTGTGCTTTTTAGCACAAATATAGTATAATACAAAATTAGTCATTGTTTATCTGAAATTTAAATTTAACTGGGCATCCTGTATTTTTATTTGCAAAACTGGCAGCCCTACCTGATCCCTTCCTTTGGTACTCGGCCGGCCTTCTCCCAAGCATGAGCGAGGAACCGCCTTCTATTTCTTCTGACAGCTTCTCCAGGCTTGAGGCAGCTGTTTCTGTGGGAAGGGGTTTCTTATGTATGAGCCAAGAAGCCTGTTGCTGTGTATGAAAAATAATATTCCTTACAACAGGCTTTTGAGATGGGTATTGTCGCTGTTTCATGGGCAGGAAACAAACCAAGCGAGGTAACGAGTTTCATCTGGGTTCCGCTGTTAACGAGATGCAGCCTGCGTAGGTTTGAGACCAATCCTACTTGGGAGGTTTCTCCTTACGGACCACGGTACCCTTCCCATGTGTTTGTTATCTTTCTGGATTAACAGCAGGAATCTGTTCCCTTTTTAATTGTTACTATTTCAAATGACATTGAGATTTGTCTTTAGAGTATTATCCCATTGAATTAGTACGATGAGGATACCGTGTTCCATACTCAGTTGTAATAATTCTTTTCTCTGTGTGGTTAAGGCACACAGCTTGATAAGGAATTAGGTTCGTTTGTGCCGGTTTTTAGTTTGCTTTTATGACTAAATTTATGTATACACACATACACATTCCTTTCCCCACTGCTGTTGCTAATACAAAAGACTATACACAAGTTCTTCATCTTGCTTTTTTTCACTTCACATTGTGTTCTAGAGATCACTCCCAATTTTGGAGATCTTCCTCATTCTCTTTTTATCTGCACAATAATTCATTGTGTAGCTGTATCTCATTAATCCTTTAATGATGAACATTTGGATGGGGGTCCCAATTTGGCTCTCCTTAGTAATAGTGCAAAACAACCCTGTGCATATATCATTGCATATTTTTGCAAGATAGGATCCCAGGAGTGAGATTGATCAGTCAAAGGGTAAATACATACGTAATTTTCTAGATATTTACAAATTTTTCTGCATGGGGTTCTGCCGTTTTGTACTCTACCACCATCATATGAGAGAGAGTAGTATTGGGGTCTATGGACGAAACTCAGGAGGTCATTGTTTCTGAAACTTTGTGCAGAATGTTAGGTGGATTTGTCCAGGGACAGGTCTAGACACTGGCAGTCTGTCCCCTATAATTGCTCATGCCTGACATGTAAGGTACTCAATATATATTTGTTGAATAATGAGTACATTTCATCAGATTCTCAGAGGAGTCTGGATTCCATAAGGGTAATTCGAAGATGATCAGTTTTTTCAAAGCACCTTAAATAGAGTAGTTACTGTATTTCCTTCTCTCTCTCTCTCTCTCTCTCCCCCTCCCCCTCTCTCCCCCTCTCTCTCCCTCCCCCTCTCCCCCCCCCCCCCCCCCCTCTCCCCCCCCCTCCCTCCCTCTCTCCCTCCCTCCCTTCCATCTCTCTCTCTCTGTCTGATCTGAGATTCCTGTCCATATTTGTAAATAAACTGGGACATTACTGAGAGAGTGGAGAAACTCATTCACTTGCCACCATGGAGAGCAAGCTGTGTCCACGCTGTGATTGAAACACACTTTTTGAGGAGCTAGAGAAGTTTGTCCTCTAGCAGGAGGACAGACATGTGCATACACAAATAATGCTCAGATAGTGTGAAAAGTACTGTGTGAGCTGCTTGGGGAAGGAGGAACGTCTTTGTGTTGCCTGGGAGACGGTTGTATTAGCCACAGCGGTGAGGAATTGGAGATGATTGATACCTTGCAAATGAGGAGATATTTTCCAAGCTGAGAGTGAGGGGGCCATCATGTGCAAAGTCATGGAGATGGAAACATGCAAGGTGTGAGCAGCAGAATGGCAGGATGTTCTGTGTAGTTAGAGCCCAGAACATGTTAGAGGCAGAAACTATATCGAGAGGTGACCCTGGAAACAGAATTGGGGCCAAAGCATGAGGAGCTTCATAGGCTGTTCTTTGAAGGTTGAATTTTTTATTCTTTGGCCTTGAGATACTTGGATTTTTAAAAAATTTGAGGTGGTCTATTGTGATATTTTCTAGAAACGACTCTCATGGCTTGGGAGGAGCATCTCAGTAAGTCACTTAGGGTAATGACTCTGGAATCAAGAGTTGGGTATGAATCCCTCTTCATCATACACCACCTGTGTGATTCTGGGCTGTTCACGTATGCTCTTTGGGCCTGGGCGACCTCATCTGCACAGTGGGGCTAATGATACCATGTTCAGGTATGTTGTAAGGATTTAGTAAGACATGCATCGCTTGCCATATAGTCGTTTCACCATCAATAATGACAGTAACCCTTTTCTGACACTTGGACTCCAGGGTCCTTCAGGTTTTTGAAACTATTTTAGTTGTAGTGACTTCTGTGGAGGCTTTTTGGACACTGCTAGAAGTGTCCTGGAGCCAGCTTGCTTGTGCCATCCCTGATGGCAGGTGCCCCTGACTGGTGACAGGATGTAATGCTTTGTTGGCCTCACTGAACTCTACTTCGATTGTGCCTTCATTGAAAATTTCCTGCTCTAATGCAAAATGTTCATCTTTTAGAGGTTTTTATTTAGCAGTTAGAAATGGAGTCGGCATATCTTCAAAAGAATCTTGGGACGTGTCTAACTCAAGGTCTTGCAGAAGTGGCAAGGATGCGCCCAGTGGATCCAATAGAATACTTAGCATTGTGGATTTACAATTATAAGAACAATGTGACCATGGAGCAACAAGTAAGTATGGATCTTCTTTTTTTTTTAATTTATTTTTTATTGAAGTATAGTTGATTTACAATGTTATGTTAGTTTCAGGTCTACAGCAAAGTGATCAGTTATGCATATATATATGTGTGTGTGTGTGTGTATATATATATACACACACACACACATATTTTTTTCAGATTCTTTTTCCATATAGGTTATTACAAAATATTCAGTATAGTTCCCTGCACTGTACAGTAGGTCCTTGTTGTTTATCTATTTTATATATAGTAGTGTATATATGTTACTCCCAAATTCCTGATTTATCTCTCTCCTCCCAGCCTTTCCCTTTTGGTAATCATAAGTTTGTTTTCTAAGTCTGTGAGTCTGTTTCTGTTTTGTTAATAATTTCATTTGGATCATTTTTTAGATTCCACATATAACTGATATCATATAATATTTGTCTTTCTCTGTCTGACTTATTTCACTTAATATGATAATCTCTAGGTCCATCCATGTTGCTACAAATGGCATTATTTCATTCATTTTTATGGCTGAGTAGTATTCCATTGTATATATGTACCACATCTTCTTTATCCATTCATCTGTCAGTGGACATTTAGGTTGCTTCCATGTCTTGGCTATTGTAAGTAGTGCTGCAGTGAACATTGGGGTGCATGTAGCTTTTCAAATTATAGTTTTCTCCAGATATATGCCCAGGAGTGGGATAGAAGCATCATATGCACTCTATTTTTAGTTTTTTTTAAGAAACCTCCACACTGTTCTCCATAGTGACTGTACCAATTTATATTCCCACCAACAGTGTAGGAGGGTTCCCTTTCCTCCACACCTTCTCCAGCATTTATTATTTGTAGACTTTCTGACTGGTGTGAGGTGATACCTCATAGTTTTGATTTGCATTTCTCTAGTAATTAGTGATGCTGAGCAGCTTTTCATGTGCCTTTGGCCATCTGTATGTCTTCTTTGGAGAAATGCCTATTTAGATCTTCTGCCCATTTTTGGATTGGGTTGTTTGTTTTTCTGATATTGAGCTATATGAGCTGTTCGTATAGTTTGGAGATTAATCCCTGTTGGTTGCATCGTTTGCAAATATTTTCTCCCATTCCATAGGTTGTCTTTTTGTTTATGGCTTCCTTTGCTGTGCAAAAGTTTTTAAGTTTAATCAGGTCCCATTTGTTTATTTTTGTTTTTATTTCCATTACTCTAGGAGATGGATCCAAAAAAGATATTGCTGTGATTTAGGTCAAAGAGTGTCCTGCCTATGTTTTGCTCTATAAGTTTTATAGTATCCAGTCTTACATTTAGCGCTTTAATCCATTTTGAGTTTATTTTTGTGTATGGTGCTAGAGAATGTTCTAATTTCATTCTTTTACAGGTAGCTGTCCAGTTTTCCCAGCACCACTTATTGAAGAGACTGTCTTTTCTCCATTAATTGACCATAGGTGCTTGGGTTTATTTCTGGGCCTTCTATCCTGTTCCATTGTGGATCTTCTTTTATAAAATTAGAGGAGTGAAATAATTGGTCCAGCTTCTTTGCTTTTTAAAAAAAGTTCAATATTATCATTTCTTTCTATTATAAAAATAGTATGTTTATTATTACAAAACTTAGATGAAAAAGTAGAAAGAAGAAAATAAAGAAGACCTCTATTTAGATTCTTAGGTATTTTTAGGTATTCTAGTCTTTTTTCTACACATTTGCCTGGAGATTTTTTTTTTTACACAATTGTGATTGTATGTGCTGTGTAATTTTAATTTTGTGTTCTTTGTTGAAATAAAACACACATTTCCCCAAATTATTATACAGTTTCCAAATGGATAGACTATAATTTGCTTAATCCTTTCCCTACTGTTGGAGATTAAGATGCTGTTAAGATTGTTTTTACAGATTGTTTTATCTGTAATTAGTCACATGATGATTTTTTTTTTTAAACCATGTTAGAGACAAGAGGAAATGGCCCAGTTGGAGCAGGAAAGAGAATTAGCTGTGATGGAGCAGGAAATGATGGAGAGACTTAAAGCAGAGGAGTTCCTGTTTCAGCAGGTGAGACAAGAGAGTTGGTGATTGGAACTAGTGGAGTCACCCTTGGTGTGGTGCAACCCAGGTGTTGAAAAACTCATCTCTTGTGCTTAGATGTAGCTTTCTTATATCTTCATCTTTATGTCTGTATGTGGCTTCTTTACTGGAGAAGAAGCAGTGATGAGGTAGGAGGAAAACCCAGAGAGTCTGCTGTCACAGAAGCCAAGGGGACAGCGTCTCAATGAGACCTGAGTGGTCAACCATGTCTGTGGCTGGTTGAGTGGGAACAGAACTGCCAAGTCTCATTTAAGGCCACTGGTGACCTTGGTGGGAGCACCGAATGTGGGGTGGGGTAAAGCAGGGGAGATGGAGATGGTGAGTACAGGTAATGCTTTCAAGGAGATTTTCAGGGAAGGAGTTTTCTTTTGTTTATTTGTTTGGTTTTTTTAAGGAACTGAGTGGAGGGGAGTGGTTGATGTAAAGAAATAAAGGGGATGATTACTAGAGTCAACTTTTCATGGAGACCAGAGGAAATTGGCTCTGGAACACAGGTTAGGCGGGTGGAGGGGCCCTTCTTTGATTCTTTGATTCAAGGAAAGAGAGGACGGTGTTAGGTACATGTGGTGTGTAGATTTTGTGGCAAAAGTTGAAAGCAGTTTCTGTGTGACTGTTTCTCTTTTGTAAAGTAGGGACCCTGATCATCTGCCCAGAATGAGGTGGTAAGGTAGGAGGTGTGGGGAGAGTGGTGAAGGTTTGAAACAGTGGCTTTGGAGAGGTAGAGTTGACCAAGGAAACTTAGCATCCCTCGGTAGCACTGAATTCCCTGAGACCAAGCAGTCATAATGGGGCCTTTTGGTTTGGTTTTGTGATGATGTGATTTTCTCCACCTAGGGCTGGATATTTGAGTGAGGATGTGGAGGAGACAGACCTTTGACTGAAGTGAGTTTGGGTTAGCAGGATTGGGGAGCTAAAGATGTTGGTTTGAAAATGGTTGAAGAGGTGGGTCATGGAGTATAAACCAGAGAGGGGCAAGTTCTAGAGTGGCTTCTGGACTAATTTAATTTATGGAGCTCTTGTAAACCAAGTTGGAGCCACCCTATACTGCTGTCATATGGTACTTAACTCTAGAGTCTCAACTCCAGTTTACATATTATAAAAAGGGAAAGAAGCCTGTTATTTGGGTGTGTGGATAAAAAAGGAAAATGTAGACATGGAAACTAGCTTCTCTGTCTTGTCTCCCATCCTTGATACTGGGGTAGATCATTCTAGGCACCTTAGATGGATATGGCTATTCTAAGCACCTTTACTGCTTCTGAGTCTCCATCTTTCAGTCATTTGGCTTATTTTTGTGGGGTGGTTGCACAGTGTTGAGTTGGATGTTAAATGACTATCCAAATGGGCAAATGTCTGCTGCAGTCGCCCCAACTTTGAGTGAGGATCTGCCCTGCCTCTTCCAGCTCCTAGAGCTGGCATCTGTCCCCTGTCTATCAGAATAAGAACTTCTCAGCAGTTCTCCTTCCCTAAGATAGTTAGATCACAGATATGGAGATGTTTAATTTGCTTTGACTCATCTTCTTTACCTTACTTAAGTAAAATTTGGCAATACTGGAACCCAAACGTCTTTCTAGCTGTATCAGTATGAAGCCATCCCCTGTGCATCAAACCCTAAGCATTGTATTGGGGGTGGAAGACATAGTGATATCCTGCAGAAGATGTGGTGGCCCATTAAAGAAGTGGATTGGTGGGCAGAGATAGATGAGAGGAGGAGAAGGGACGGGTAGACCAACAGATGAAGAAAAAGAGAGAGGCCTCTCCGTGTCCCCTGAGTCAAGTGAGCTGGAAGGTCAGGATTCTGGTCACCTGCCTGTTGGTTGCAAGAGCAGGTGTCCTCATAAATTCAAGGACTTGAAATTCCTTGAAATTTTAGGCATTCTCCAGCAAGCCTGGGTCCTTGTGAGCAGGGCAACATTTTTCTTGCTGTTTTCTGCTTAAGAGTTCATTTTGGAAGTACTGGCTTTTGTATTTCTTTGAATGTTTTTCTAATGGTTGGACACATGTGTGAAGAAAGCGATTGGGTTTCGAACATTTCCTGAAAATGTTAAGAAACTGGTTATGTTGACCAATGTGGTTGGTATTTAGCAACTGCACTTTGTGTTATTGTTGAGAGGTTAATTTCGCTTCCTCTACAAATATCTGAAAGTTGATTGAATGATAACGTTCCTGCATTTTGGCTACGTAGCCCATCACTTTTATCTTAGTGGGGATGATATAGGAATATGAAGAAATTACCTTAAACAGCCCTTTGTGAATAAATATTAATCACTGTTTATTATCTCTTTGTAAAAATGTATTTTTTTTAAATGCATTTAAAAACATAGTTTTAAAGTGCTCTTAATGGAATGAGCTTATATTAGGTCGTTTATGGGGTGGCACTGGACTGATGGTGAGAAATTATTTTCTAGCTGAGGTTGACAGACTCTTTCTGTAAAGGTGGATATTTTATGATTTTCAGGCCAAGAAGCAAAATTGAGGATGTTATGTAGGGATTATGGTATACTATGTAGCTATAACAAGAGAGAAAATAAATTTCTACAAATGTTTTATTGATGAAGTAAAAATTTAAAAAAATCAAATACAGTTTTTTCTGCAGTGTAGGCTTATTATTGAGAAGAATTACATTCCCTTTTTAAAGATAACGTTTCACTTAGTTGGAGTTCAAAGATAATGTTCCCTGTCATCAAAATGTATTGAAAATATGTATCTGTTAATGCTGATCTGGAATGAGATTTTATGTGTATCATCTTTGAAAAATGTCTTTTCCCTCATAGGTCCTGCCAAATATTGATATCAGTTCATGTGCCTATAATTTTGAGTGTATTCATCTCTTGGAAGGCGCCTGTAGAATTCTATTAGATTTTCCTCTTGATATTTGTCTTTTAGCCACTAGCTGGTAGGTTAATCCCTTCCAGTTGAAGGTTGGTGAAAACTTCTCAGTTACACAGTTAGATGGATTTTGAAATGTGGGAATTTCCTTTGCACTTACGTCAAGGCCTAAAAACACTCTGGAACTATAGTTTGAGCTTGGAAAATGTATCTGTCACAAATTTGTGTGGGAATGGAAATCCCGTTTCTGACAGCACTGGGAGTGTATAAAGCAGCTTGACATTGTGATTCAGAAAATTAGTTGTTGCTGAAATGACTTTCCTGCAGTGTAAGTTTTACATATGATGCTGTTTTGCCTTGTAGGCAACTTTTAGGTTAAATTGATTTAAAATCGTTATTAAGTCTGCAGCGGAAGCTAATTTCCAAAGCTATTTAATGTTTGATAATTGTAGTTGAAAATGGTCTTCTCATTAAGAAAAACGTCAGTCTTGTCCCTGAGCTCAAAAATTCACAATAAAACATTACCACTGTTGAGCCATGGAACTGTGGGGTGGTAGGGCAAGTCAAGATATATTCAGCTTCTACTTCTGACACAAATTCACCAGAAATGATGCTTAAGTTCATAAGGGTAAATGAAGGTCACTGTTGACACTGTTACTGAACCAAACGGGTCTGCTCGCCCAACGCACAGCAAAGCCAAATCTATTGACAGTGGGTTCTAGTGAAGGAAAGTACAGAGTTTACTGCAGGGCGCCAAGCAAGGAAGAGGGAGACAAGCCTCGGATCCACTCCAACTGAGTCTTTGAGTGAGGGGTTTTCTTAAAGGGGAAGAGCAAAGAGGCTAGGATTAATCTTGTGATGTTTCTGTGACATTTCTTTGCTTTTTTTTTAATTGAAGTATAGCTGATTTACAATATTGTGTTAGTTTCGGGTGTACAGCGAAGTGGTTATATATACATATATATGTATATATCTGTGTTCTTTTTCATTCTATTTTGTTATAGTTTATTACGAGATATTGAATATAGTTCCCTGTGCTGTACAGTAAATCCTTGTTGTTTATTTTATATATGGTAGTGTGCATCTGTTAATCCCCTACTCCCAGTTTAATCCTCCCCCTTTTGGTAATCATAAGTTTGTTTTCTATGTCTGTGAATCTGTTTCTGTTTTTTAAATACGTTCATTTGTACTGTTTTTCAGTTTCCACATATAAGTGATATCATATGATACTTGTCTTTCTCTGACTTACTTCACTTAGTATGATAATCTCTAGGTCCATCCATGTTGCTGCAGCACTTCTGTTATATTTCTTAGTCATTGATTTTTTTCAGTCAGTGATCGAATTTTTCAGTCATTTTGAACTCAACATTGACTCCTTTGGAAGTCAGGTTGTCTCCAGTTTACAGTTCTCCAGCCAGGTGGTCCACGGCTTGGGGGGGTCTGTTAGCTCATCTTGTCCTAGAGAAACAACCTGAGTTTGTACATTAATGATTATATCTATAATAGCAATTTTAGTACATTAACTATGCTATTGACAACAGTAATTTTAGTCATCTGACTCTGGTTGATTAGTGTTCAGTTAGCACAGGATTGAGGTCAGAGGGGACAAGAAAGGGAATAAAGTTTTGGATAGAGAGATTAATCAGAAACTCAGTAAGGGAACTCAGCTTTAGGGGGGACTCGGTTTCAACACTGCTGGCTCAATAACACATGATAGAGTCAGATATTTTCTGCAGAGTAGCTGCTGTTGAATCATAAAATGAGAACTCATAGGTTTTAAACACTATGTTTTCACCAACTTTGTAAATTTTGTCCAATTAAGCCTTTTTCTGTTCCATACAAACTTTTATCACTGTTTGTTGTAACACATCTGAGCAGATGTCACATCTGGTTGTACTGAATTAATGTTCCTCAATGTCTTTGAAGATGTTCTTGCCTGTAGTACTGTTCATGAAGACTGTTCATAGTGGTTGATTTTTCAGTCACTGCAAACTCAACATTGACTCCTTTGATAAACAACAACTAAGCAGTGTTGGGAGCGTTTGTCTACTCATCAAGAGCCAGGGAAAACCACTCAGAACCCTTTTGCCTTTGCCTTTAATTGACCATTGAGTTTGCTCCCCGTGTAATCAACTCTTTGAGCAGCGGTGCTCACTAAAAGGATAATAATCTTAAGTTTATGTTTTTTCTGGACATTGAATTCTCACTTGTTTTAATTGAATCACCATTGATAAATGTACTTCTTTGCTTGGGATCTTACTTTTGTTGCCGCCTCCGTTTCATTTTTAATTTTTGTGAAGAAATCCTGCTCTCATGAAGTAATTCTGTTTTAAATTTCTTAATACTTCTGACCTTTGCATTCGTGTGAATTGAGAAGATCGTGATGAGTGCGTCCTCTGGTAATGCTGATATTTACTGTATTCTTTTAGTACAGTGTCGTTGCATGAGAAACACTGTCCTGTGCTGTTTAATCTGATAATAAAGTAACCCACACTCCACTGTGTTTTAAAAGGACAACATTCAAAATCCACTTCTTTTCTTGTTTTGTTATGATGGGTAATGCACCGATTAAAAAAAAAAAAAAAAAAAGTCCCGGTATAGTGGTACCGTGGCACTCCAAACGCTGTGAGTTATAATGGTGTCACTGAACTTGCAGTGTGCTGAGCAGCAGTGCAAGGTAGTGAGAGTACCACCTGTGGTCTCTGTTGCGTACACTCAGCTGTGCTGTCATGGGGCAGAAGCAGTCACACTAAATGAGTGAGCGTGAGCGTGGCAGTGTTTTAATAGAGCTTTATTTATAGACACTGACACTTGAATTTCATATAATTTTCATGTGCAATGAAATATTATTCTTTTGATATTATTCAACCATGAAAAATGTATAAAAACCATTCTTCACTCGTGGGCTGTACAAAAACAGGCGTTGGGTTAGGCTTGGCCCAAGGAGTTTAGTCTACCGACCCCTGTTCTCGCGTGGCTAGGATATATGTTGAGTTGGGACCAAATATGTTGTTGATCATCTCTGGTTTAAGATAATCTACTTAAAATGTTCTTATCTACTATTTTACAACCAAGGTTTGGCTATTTGAAGATCCATCTGTGCTTAAAGAGATTTTATCCAAAAAAAAAAAAAAAAAAACTGCAGTCTCATTTGTAGCTTCAGGAAGAACAGAGAAAACGACTTGATTTTGTACAAATAGTGCTTTTCTAAAATTAGCAATTAAGGAAGCTTCCTTTTTAATTTTCTACTTCAGGAAATATTTGTAAAAGCTAAAGTATTGGGTGGTTGTGACCATTTATTTTTGTAAGTTTCTGAAATTTAGGTGGGCATAAACTTAATTATCCTGGGACACTTTAGAGTAATAGGGTGAATTCCTTGCAATTGATCTGACTCTAATATGACTTATTTATTTCTGAATGTTCAGCAACAGTTGGCATTCCAGCTGGAGTTGGAAATGCAAGAAAAAGAGAGACAGAGAATAGAAGAACTGCAGAGAGCTCAAGAGCAACTTGAGAAGGTAATTTGAAGTTTTATAAATGTCTCTTTTATTCAAAACCTCTGAGAATCCTCAAACTGTTTCTTCCAGCTGTTATAGCAGGGGATTCATAGTCTAGAGACCTTCCAGGAAGGTCTAATGTTGCCAGGAAGCCCTGGTCAACATTTTAGTCAAGAGATAGTTGTTCCTAATTATGGTAGCTGATACTGAAGTTCTTTGTAGTATTGGGGGTATTCTGATCTCTGAGGCAATAGTTTGTTTCTTTTCTTCATGTTAGATGTATTACCAACAATACTTTACATTTAAAACTATGTTTGGGGGACTTTCCTGGTGGCACAGTGGTTAAGAATCCGCCTGCCATAGCAGGGGACATGGGTTCAATCCCTGGTCCAGGAAGATCCCATATGCCGTGGAGCAACTAAGCCCGTGCGCCGCAACTACTGAGCCTGCGCTCTAGAGCCCGTGAACCACACTGCTGAGCCCACGTGCCGCAGCTACTGAAGCCCACGCGCTTAGAGCCTGTGCTCCACAACGAGAGAAGCCACCACAATGAGAAGCCTGCGCACTGCAACGAAGAGTAACCCCTGCTTGCCACAACTAGAGAAAGCCCGTGTGCAGCAACGAAGACCCAACGCAGCCAAAAATATATATATATGTATGTTTTTATTTGGATTTTTCATGTCTTTCTTTAAATAAACTTCAGTAACTTATGTCAAAAAAGTCCATCTCCATTGACTGTGTCTGTGTTTTTTTTAATAAGTTTATTTTATTATTTTGGCTGCATTGGGTCTTCATTGCTGCGCGTGGGCTTTTCTCTGGTTGCGGTGTGTGGGCTTCTCATTGCAGTGGCTTCTCTTGTTGGCGGAGCACGGGCTTCAGTAGTTGTGGCATGTGGGCTCGGTAGTTGTGGTACACAGGCTTAGTTGTTCCGCAGCATGTGGGATCTTGGACCAGGGCTCGAATCTGTGTCCCCTGCATTGGCAGGCGGATTCTTAACCACTGTGCCACCAGGGAAGCCCCCAGACTGTGTCTGTCTTATGTCAAGCCTCTTGCTTGGCTAATGTTTCCTTGTATCCGAAAAGTATGTGTCGTATAGACCAAACTTCTGCATGACTGAGTTATACTTTTCAACTGGATATTTCATATTGTATGCTTATAGCTAGTATCTGTTACTCAAATGTTACTCCTCTATTTATTCCGAAATTAAAATTTTAAAAAGAAGCAGGTTTTGTAGAAGATGTTTATTAATGGCTTAGATGAAGTCATCATTATTTAAAGCAATTTTAAAAAGTAGGAAGGGTAAATTAAATTTTTTTAAAAGATGAGATTTAATTAATTAGTTATTTTTTTAACTCTTGAGGTAAATTCAATTCTTTTCTTCTCATCAATGTACTATGCTCTTCATTCTATAATAAGAGATTAATCTACTAAGAATTGTTCTTGACAAAGTGAAATCATTTAGTCCTGTTGTAGCCCAAGTGTCAGAAAACTACTTTTGTGAGTCAAAAAGATGAGATTTTAAAAGGATAAATTCAAACCTCTGTACATAGTTTTAAAAAACACCGATGCTGATCTATCTTTGTCTGAATATGGTAGGACACATGGGTACCCATGCATGCACACACACGTAAATGCATACCCCCTTCCTCTTCAGTTAAGATTCCGTGATTGCAAAAGAAAGAAGAACCAGAATACATCAAGAAGACGGTGATCAAAATAATAAGAGGATTGAAAGTATTTTTTATTGAGATGCCTGATAGCTATATCTGAGTGCTGGGAAGTCTGTGATTTATAGAAGGGATTGGCTCCAGAGGGTCCCATTCATGTTACTCTATGGCCATTACCAGACTATGTGACCAGAGCCACTGTAGCTTTAATAAGTCATGTTCCTACTGGCTTATCACCCCTCTCTTCCCTGCAACATACTGCTGCTTGACCCCTTGCTCAGAGACAAATTCACCCATGTCTTTTTGTCCTCGCCTTTTTATGGCTTCAGAGACATAACTTAAACTATCAGTTGCAAAAGGAAGTTTATTGGAAGGATCCTGGGTTGAAGAAAGTGTTTTACAACTAAACTGTGAAGGGCTCTGGTTGAGTTGGGTCTTCCAGACCTTTGGGAGCAAGAGAATCAATGCTGCCAGGGCTCTTACCTCTGCTGTTGTCTCTCACTGTGGCCTGGTTTGCTGCACATGGGTGAGGATCACGGTCCTTAATAGTTCCTGGGTCTTGTAATGTGGGTTCCTGGGTCTCCTACTGTCTGAGAGGAATAGATTCCTTTCTTTTGGGTTTCAGTTAAGAAAAGAATCTTGGGGAAGGATTCTGACTGGCTTAGTTTGTGTCAAGTATCCATCCCTTGGCTGGGCAACAGAGTCCTGTGAGAATATATGCTTTCCCACCAGAGCCATGTGGTTGTGGGATAAGACATGCCCAGGAGAAGGGAATGATCTTGAGAAAGCCATATACGTACGATATATGTCCCCAATAATCAGGGTGACTGTATGTGATCACAAGATCACTAATCTTTTTTTTGCGGTACGGGGGCCTCTCACTGTTGTGGCCTCTCCCGTTGCGGAGCACAGGCTCCGGACGCGCAGGCTCAGTGGCCATGGCTCACGGGCCCAGCCGCTCTGCGGCATGTGGGATCTTCCCAGACCGGGGCATGAACCCGTGTCCCCTGCATCGGCAGGCGGACTCTTCAACCACTGCGCCACCAGGGAAGCCCGATCACTAATCTTTGAACAGTTGAAATGAATCAGCTCAGGAGCAGTTAAGTCAGCCTGCTGCCTTAGAATGAAAAGATAGAGGCCACAGCAAGGTTTGGCTTGGTTAGCAGATTCTACATTTTCACATTCAGAAAGCAGTCGCCCATGTGTTCAGAGCATTATAGAGGGCATTGTCCAGGTACTGTGGAGAGGTGTCCTGTATTGGATAGTGCCTTGGGCCAGATTAATTCCCTCAGAAATATTTGCTTCTTTTTTACTATGTATAAAATTCTACATAACTGTCAGTTCTTTCAAAATCTCGTATTCTAAGAGTTTATTAAAATTATTATTTTGTCACTTTCCAAATTTGCTAGTAATTTGGCTTCAGGGTTAGTGAAATAGTTAGCCTTTTTCATTTTTTAAAAAGTTCTATTTAATTATAGACAGAACCTCGTAGTCACCTCTTAATAGAGTATTAAATGAGACTATCTGCAGTTTTGTATTCACATTGCTCCTTTAAGAGGGACAGCATTTTTGCTGTTAAATTGATCATAATGTAAAAATAAAATGCTTGAAAATTAAACATGGAATCAAAATAAAAAGTATATTAAAAGTATTTTTCTTCATTTTTTTGTATTATAGGAGTTGAGAATGAATATGGAAAGTATAGCTAAGGGTGAAGATATTTCACATGGAGAGGTGAGAAGAAAAAGTTACTCTATATTATGGGAAATGAATAAGTATCCTGGAATGTAAAGCTTAATTTTGATGCATTAATAGCTAAATTTTTAATAAGGAGATTATCAAAACTGATAGTCCAAATACATAGCCTAGTAACAACAAGTTACAAATACGATGTGCTTTAAAGCAAGCTCTCCAAGTGGGTAGAACTGGGAGATGCGGGTGGTTTGGTATTTTTAAAAACCAGAATATTGTGAGATTATTGACCGCATGATTACATGCAATGATATGTTTTAAATTTCTGATGTATTTTTTTAAACACGTTTTTGCGTTTATTCCTGGAATTCTCTTGTCATTAACAGGTATTGGTTCGTTCCATTAACTGACAGTGTTGAATTTTGATGTTGTAATACAGAAGTGTCTTAGCAAAACTGAAAGCAAATTAATGTATTAATCTCAAAATCATTTGAAAGTGAAAATGAGCTCTGTGATTGTAGGATGAAGCCGACTCAGGCAGAACACTAGCTGAAATTAGTGATCGATATGGAGCGCCGAACTTGAGCAGGGTGGAAGAACTTGATGAACCGATGCTATCGGATGTGAGTATCCTTAGGAAAGTGTTTTGTGAAAAGCAGATTTTTTTTTTTTTTTTTTTTTACTTTGGGAGAGCCTAGTGTATCTCAGGCCAAGGTTGGATGGCAAAATGGGCCTTTTGTTTCATAGAAAGAAAACCAGTGTTCTGGGTGCTGACTTATCCCTAATTTGCCTTCTGCCCTTCTGTGCACTGTGCTACTGGCCCCGAGGGTGAGAGTGGGCACTTGTCTGGCTCCACACAAATGTGTGGGCACTGATGGGGAGGTCACTGGGCATTAATGTGGATGGAGCAGTGTGCCCTCCTGTGTAGAGGGTGATATGTATATTTGGAAATGAGCCTTTGAAAATTTCAAAATCTCTTCAAAATACGTATTTAGAATCGTGGTGAAATACATAATCTTTCAATTAAATTTTGGGGGCCAACATTTTGGTTCTCAGTAGCAAACCGTGGAGCCAAGTAAATATCCTAATGAGGGTGCATGCTTTTAAAGTATATAAGTCCATTTGCTTATTTAATAAACATATAGTGTTTCCTATGCACCACATAAACTGTGCCCGATGCTTTTATGACCGAAAACAGGTCCTTCTTGACCTTGTCTAGGGAAGAAACAGACAACTGGACAAGCAGTTGATAGTCATTGGTAGAGTGAGCAGGTAATGTCTGGTCCAGAGCATTATGCTTGGAGAGCGAGAGGAGGGGCTGTTGCTAACAGGCCCATCAGCAGCTGTAACCCGGGACTGCCCTGGCAGAGGGCTGCACTGAGTCACCTGCATCAGTGGGCACTGACAAAGCGGGACAGCCACCCAGTTGAGGACCCTTGGTCAGGGAAGGCTTCCTGGAGGAAGTCAGCTTTGTCATTCAGTGGGGGAATGGGAGGCTGGGGAGGGGAGAAGAGAGAGTGGGAGATAGGGAGATATCAGAGCTGAGGCAGTGGAGAGCAGGGGCCAGACCATGAAAGGACTTGTAATCTGTGCTCAGACGTTTATATTTTATCCTGAAGGCAGTGGAGGCCAACATCAGAACTGTGTTTTAGGAAGGCCATCTGGCTATAGCGTGTAGAAGAGAATGCAGTGATCGATTTGAGGAGACCCACCAGGAGGCTATTTGTAATCTACAGAGGGATGGCACTGATGGCCTGAAGTAGTGAGTGGTGTTTTTAAGAGCTGTTCAGAAAGTGGAGCCAGGAGGATTTGGTGCTAATCAGTCAGTGGATACATTTTTATTTAATGGCTGCTGTGTTTTGGTGCCATGCAGGGAGCTAGAAAATACCAGTGAACAAAACAGATAGGGTTTCTGCCCTTTGGGGACCATGGGCCAGCGGGGCAGGTGGTCTGAGAGGACAGAGCAGGGAAACCTGACCTAGCCTGGGTGAGTCTTCTCCAGGAAATGACGTTTAAGGAGTTAGCCTGAGATGAGCCCAGTGGATGGAGAGAGCAAGATACTTTCAAGGAATGCACATAGTCCAGTATTTTGGCTGAGTTGAATGGAACTAGGAGAATGGTGTGATTTGAAGCTGGAGAAGTGGATAAAGGCCAGATCACACTGGGCTCTGTGTGTCCTCTTAAGGATTTTGGACTTATGTGCAGTGGGAGTCATTGAAAGGGTTTATGTAAGGATTAGATATGTGTTTTTAGAAGGTGGAGAAAGGATCTGAGTGGACAGGAGTGGAAACAGGAGACCACTTAGGAGGTTATCACAGTCATCCAGATGCAAGATGACCAGGGCTAGGACCAGACAGCAGAGATAGGGACAGCTGAGTGGACTTGATATCAGCTGGGAAGATAAGGGAGAGAAAGAAGTCAAGGATGAAGCCCAGATTTCTGCCTTGGGCAACTGAACTCTTCACCATTTTTTGAGCTTTACCATTCGTTAAATTGAGGAACATATGAAGAGAAAGTAGGTTTTGTGAAAATGATGTCTTCAGTTGTGGACATGTTGATTTCAGGTCACTCTGAGGTATGCAGGTGAAAATGGCCAAAGACCCCTTGAAGTATGTTATGGGTCTGGAGGAAGGAGAGAGGTCCAGGCAGGAGAGATGAATTCAACAGTCATCAGCATATATGCTAAGTGAAGCTAGGAGAGTGAGTCAGGTTACCTGGCTCACATGAGAAATTTCAACATTTAAGGGATGCGTACAGGACCCCTGCAAGAAGGATACGGATAACAATAAGAGAGAATAGCAAGAGAAGTAGAAGAAAGGATGGGTTGATAAATACATTGAGAACACAGTTAAATTATTATTATATTGACTTCGGATTTTATTTGAAATAATCTGAAACTATCAAAAAGCTTCATTTACATAGTCACATAGAAGTTACCTAAGCTTAAATTTTCTGTGGCTTGTACATTTCACAGTTCTAGTTGTATTTTAAAACATATTTACTTTTTGTTTTTAGGTTGCATTAAACATTGATCAAGATTTGTAGGATCAACCAACCAAAGAACAATAAATTTTTCTTCTTCTTTCAAGTTTCAAAATAGGAGGTCGCCAATTGTTTTTTTCCCTCCAAACTTGAACTCTGCTTTTCCTCCCTCTAAAGACAGCTTTATAAATGGGCTTCAAGAGTGGCCTTAAAATACTGTTTTGATTACTTGTATGACACCATTTTGATTACTTGTATGATGCCAGTGAGAGAACAGGAGAGAGTGTTTCCCAAAGCAACGAAAAGGGGCAAATGGGAGACAAGCTGAAAAGAATGTGTGCATCTATGTGAGAACAAGATTTCCTGAGTTGAAAGTTACTGGTTCTATGAGAAGTGAAAGGGGCTGCCACTGTGTAGAGCTCAGGAATTGTCAACATGCTTTAGATATGGTGGTTCCTCCTGGGAGTGCACTGCAAAGATTCCCCCAGTTTGCTGGGGAGTGATGCTTTGTAGTACCACTTAATCCATGCTTATTGATGGGGCTGGGATGGGGAGGGATGCAAAGGTCCCAGGGACAGGGTAGCATTGTTTTTTCTGGAACAGTCACTGGGCAGAGGCCCTGTGCTGCTGTTGAAAGGAAGATCTTAGTGGACACAGGCCGTGCAAGGTGCTTCCTTCAGGGGATGCTGGGTGGTCTGTGGACCTTGACTGCACTCTTGGCCTCCTGGAGGTTTCAGGTCTAACTTTGAGCTTTAGGGAGAATTTTGCTTCTTTTATAAAATTCTTCCAAACCTAAGTCTATGTTATGAGTTCTTTCTGTTCTTTAAGGAATGGTGGAAGCATAAATGCCAGGAAGAGGCTTCTTTAAAAAAAAAAGAATTCTGTTTTTGGTTATAACATAACCTTTCCCGAGGCAGTGAGAACAGAACAGCCTAGTTGCTTAAGTGGGAAAAGAAAAAAGAAAAAAATAATGGGAAAAAAAGTCTATTTAATTAAAAGAAATGGGGCTTCCCTGGTGGCACAGTGGTTGAGAGTCCACCTGGCGATGCAGGGGACGCGGGTTCGTGCCCTGGTCCGGGAAGATCCCACATGACGCAGAGCGGCTGGGCCCGTGAGCCATGGCCTCTGAGCCTGTGCCTCCGGAGCCTGTGCTCCGCAACGGGAGAGGCCACAACAGTGAGAGGCCCGCGTATCGGAAAAAAAAAAAAAAAAAAAAAAAAATTGAAATGTTATATCAGTTCTGTGCATTTTTTAACAAGGTTTTTTTTTAATTTTTATAAATTTATTTATTTTTGGCTGCGTTGGGTCTTCATTGCTGCACACAGGCTTTTCTCTAGTGTAGCGAGCAAGGGCTACTCTACGTTGTGGGCAGGCTTCTCATTGTGGTGGCTTCTCTTGCTGCGGAGCATGGGCTCTAGGCGTGCAGGCTCAGAAGTTGTGGCTCACGGGCTCTAGAGCACAGGCTCAGTAGTTGTGGTGCACGGGTTTAGTTGCTCCGCAGCATGTGGGATCTTCCCGGACCGGGGCTTGAACCCGTGTCCCCTGCATTGGCAGGTGGATTCTTAACCACTGCGCCACCCGGGAAACCCAGTTCTCTACATTTTTTTTAATACATCTTTATTGGAGTATAATTGCTTCACAGTACCATGTTAGTTTCTGTTGCACAACAAAGTGAATCAGCCATATGCATACATATGTCCCCATATCCCCTCCCTCTTGAGCCTCTCTCCCATCCTCCCTATCCCACCTCTCTAGGTCACCGCAAAGCACCGAGCTGATCTCCCTGTACTATGCTGCTGCTTCCCACCAGCCAATTATTTTACATTCAGTAGTGTATATATGTCGATGCTACTCTCACTTCGCCCCAGCTACGCCCTCACACCCCATGTCCTCAAGTCCATTCTCTATGTCTACATCTTTATTCCTGCCCTGCAACTTGGTTCATCAGTACCTTTTTTTTTTATATATTCCATATATATGCGTTAGCATACGGTATTTGGTTTTCTCTTTCTGACTTACTTCCCTCTGTATGTCAGACTCTATGTCCATCCACCTCACTACAAATAACTCGATTTCGTTTCTTTCTATGGCTGAGTAATATTCCATTGTATATATGTGCCACATCTTCTTTATCCATTCATCAGTCGATGGAGATTTAGGTTGCTTCCATGACCTGGCTATTGTAAATATTGCTGCAATGAACATTGTGGTGCATGTCCCTTTTTGAGTTATGGTTTTCTCAGGGTATATGCCCAGTAGTGGGATTGCTGGGTCATATGGTAGTTCTATTTTTAGCTTTTTAAGGAACCTCCATACAGTTTTCCATAGTGGTTGTATCAATTTACATCCCCACCAACAGTGCAGGAGGTTTCCCTTTTCACCACACCCTTTCCAGCATTTATTGTTTCTAGCTTTTTTGATAATGGCCATTCTGACCAGTGTGAAGTGATGCCTCATTGTAGTTTTGATTTGCATTTCTCTAATAGTGATGTTGAGCATCTTTTCATGTGCCTCTTGACCATCTGTATGTCTTCTTGGTGAAATGTCTATTTAGGTTTTCCACCCATTTTTTAACTGGATTGTTTGTTTGTTTTTGATATTGAGCTCCATGAGCTGTTTGTATATTTTAGAGATTAATCCTTTGTTGTTTCATTTGCAAATATTTTCTCCCATTCTGAGGGTTGTCTTTTTGTCTTGTTTATGGCTTCCTTTGCTGTGCAAAAGCTTTTAAGTTTAATTAAGTCCCATTTGTTTATTTTTGTTTTTATGTGTTACTCTAGGAGGTGGGTCAAAAAAGATCTTGCTGTGGTTTAAGTCAAAGAGTGATTTTTCCTTTGTTTTCCTCCAAGAGTTTTATAGTGTCTGGTCTTACATTTAGGTCTCTAATCCATTTTGAGTTTATTTTTGTATATGGTGTTAGGTAGTGTTCTAATTTCATTCTTTTACATGTAGCTGTCCAGTTTTCCCAACACTAATTATTGAAGAGGTTGTCTTTTCTCCATTGTATGTTCTTGCTCCTTTGTCATAAATTAGGTGCCCATATGTGCATGGGTTTATCTCTGGGCATTCTATCCTGTACTGTTGATCTATGTTTCTGTTTTTGTGCCAGTACCATACTGTCTTGATTACTGTAGCTTTGTGGTATAGTTTGAAGTCAGGGAGCCTGATTCCTTCAACTCCGTTTTTCTTTCTCAAGATTGCTTTGACTATTCGGTGTCTTTCGTTTTTCCATACGAATTGTAAGTTTTTTTGTTTTAGATCTGTGAAGAATGCCATTGGTAGTTTGATAGGGATTGCATTGAATCTGTAGATTGCTTTTGGCAGTATAGTCATTTTCACAATATTGATTCTTCCAATCCAAGAACATGGTATATCTCTCCATCTTTTTATGTCATCTTTGATTTCTTTCATCAGTGTTTTATAATTTTCTGAGTACAAGTCTTTGGCCTCCTTAGGCTGGTTTATTCCTAGGTATTTTATTCTTTTTGTTACAATGGTATATGGGAGTGTTTCCTTAATTTCTCTTTCTGATTTTTCGTTGGTGTATAGGAACGCAAGAGATTTCTGTGCATTAATTTTGTATCCTGCAGCCTTACCAAATTTATTGATTAGTTCTAGTAGTTTTCTGGTGGCATCTTTAAGATTTTCTATGTATAGTATCATGTCATCAGGAAATAGTGACGGTTTTACTTCTTCTTTTCCAGTTTGTATTCCTTTTATTTCTTTTTCTTCTCTGATTGCCGTGGCTAGGACTTCCAAAACTATGTTGAATAAGAGTGGCAAGAGTGGACCTCCTTGTCTTGTTCCTGATCCTAGTGGAAATGCTTTCAGTTTTTCACCATTGAGTATGATGTTTGCTGTGGGTTTGTCATATATGGCCTTTATTATGTTGAGGTAGGTTCCCTCTGTGCCCATTTTCTGGAGAGTTTTTATCATAAATGGGTGTTGAATTTTGTTAAAAGCTTTTTTCTGCATCTATTGAGATGATCATATGGGTTTTATTCCTTAATTTGTTAATATGCTGTATCACATTGATTGATTTGCATATATTGAAGAATCTTTGCATCCCTGGGATAAATCCCACTTGATCATGGTGTATGATCCTTTCATTGTGCTGTTGGATTCTGTTTGCTAGTATTTTGTTCAGGACTTTTGCATCTATGTTCATCAGTGAAATTGGTCTGTAATTTTCTTTTTTTTGTGATACCATTTTCTGGTTTTTGTATCAGGGTGATAGTGGCTTCATAGAATGAATTTGGCAGTGTTTCTCCGTCTGCAATTTTTTGGAAGAGTTTGCAAAGGACTGGTGTTAGCTCTTCTCTAAATGTTTGATAGAATTCGCTTGTGAAGCCATCTGGTCCTGGACTTTTGTTTGTGGGAGATTTTTAATTACGGTTTCAATTTCCTTACTTGTGATATGTCTGTTTATATTTTCTAATTCTTCCTGGTTCATTCTTGGAAAATTGTACCTTTCCAAGAATTTGTCCATTTCTTCCTGGTTGTCCATTTTATTGGCATATAGTTGTTTGTAGTGGTCTCTTATAATCCTTTGTATTTCTGCAGTGTCAGTTGTGATTCCTCCTTTTTCATTTGCGTCCTCTCCCATTTTTTCTTGATGCGTCTGGCTAAGGGTTTATCAGTTTTGTTTATCTTGTCAAAGAACCAGCTTTTAGTTTTATTGATCTTGGCTATTGTTTTCTTCGTTTCTATTTCATTTATTTCTGCTGTGATCTTTATGATTTCTTTCCTTCTACTGACTTTAGGGTTTTTTGGTTCTTCTTTCTTGAGTTGTTTTAAGTGTAGGGTTAGATTGTTTATTTGAGATTTTTCTTGTTTCTTGAGGTGAGATTGAATTGCTCTAAACTTCTCTCTTAGAACTGCTTTTGTTGTGTCCCATAGTTTTTTGGGTCGTCGTGTTTTCATTGTCATTTGTTTCTATGTAGTTTTTAATTTCTTCTTTGATTTCTTCAGTGATGTCTTGGTTATTTTGTAGCACACTATTTAGCCTCCACGTATTTTTGTTTTTTACAGTTTTTTTCCCTTGTAATTGATTTCCAATCTCATAGCGTCGTGGTCAGAAAGGATGCTTGTTACAGTTTCAGTTTTCTTAAATTTTCTGAGGCTTGATTTGTGACCCAAGATGTGATCTCTCCTGGAGAATGTTCCATGTGCACTTGAGAAGAGAGTGTATTCTGCCACTTTTGGGTGGAATATTCTATAAATATCAATTAAATCTATCTGGTCTACTGTGTCATTTAAAGCTTGTGTTTCCTTATTTATTTTCTGTTTGGATGATCTGTCCGTTGGTGTAAGTGGGATGTTAAAGTCCCCTACTATTATTGTGTTACCGTCGATTCCTCCTTTCATGTTGTTAGCATTTGCCTTATGTATTGAGGTGCTCCTATGTTGGGTGCATAAACATTTATAATTGTTATATCTTCTTCTTGGATTGATCCTTTGATCATTATGTAGTGTCCCTCCTTATCTCTTATAACTGTCTTTATTTTAAAGTCTATTTTATCTGATAGGAGTATTGCTACTCCAGCTTTCTTTTGATTTCCATTTGCATGGAATATCTTTTTCCATCCTTTCACTTTCAGTCTGTATGTGTCTCTAGGTCTGAAGTGGGTCTCTTGTAGACAGCATATATATGGGTCTTGTTTTTGTATCCATTCAACCAGTAAATGTTGGGGCATTTAATCCATTTACATTCAAGGTTATTAGCAATATGTATGGTTTTTTTTTTTTTTACCATTTTCTTAATTGTTTTGGGGTTTTTATTGTGGGTCTTTTTCT